CTCATCAGGATCATCCAGTTTTCTAGAATTCTCCTTCCACTCCTGTGTGGCATGTGAAACCACACGGTCCCCTGGTAACACAATGCCTTTCTCTGCTGGAAACTTTTATCCTCAACTCCATCACTGAACAAGTTCCACAGGGTTCCAGGAGTGAGCTGTGCCAGGAGACCCACAGCGATCCATGCTGTGGAATCCCCTTCACACCCAGTGCTCACACCAACAGTTGTGTGTCCTTTATGGCCCAGGAGCTGTCATGCATCTAACCAGTCTACACACAGCACAAACACATGCATCTATATGTCTAAACTTTCTTTTCAATTGCTTCTGCATTGACATTTATTCTTTAAAAAATAAAGCAATGCCTTTTCACTTGTGTGTTCTCATTCTAAAACAGGTTCATCTTAACATCAAGTAAGTTTGGTGTCCTCTCACTCCTATTCACCATCTTTTACTCTGTCAACATCTTTGTGGGCTTCTTTAGTCCTTTTCCACCAAGATTCTTTCCTTTGAAGTCATTACTGTTTGACTTCTCCTATTCTATTTCCTTATCTACCTATCCCTACGTTGTTTTGTTTTGTTATTTGTACCAAGGATTGAACTCAGGACCTTGTGCTTGCCAGGCAGGCACTTATTCTACTAAGCTATCTCCCTGGCCCCTCTAAGGTATTTCTCTCTTGACACCTTCCACATCTTCTTCTCAGATTTCTATTCTCAACTCCCATCATCTTCATTCTACATTCTATGCATATCCACGGAAGTATGGGGATACACTGTGAGCCTTGAAATCAGCATGAGTTAGCTTCTAACCATCTGCTTGACTTTAGCATTTTGCATAACTTCTTAAAATCTCACCTTTCAGGGCCAGGGAGATAGCTCAGTGGAATAAGCACTTCCCTGGCAAGCACAAGGGCCTGAGCTCAATCCCTCATTCAAAAAAAAAAAGTCTCACCTTTCTAACCTTTGAAACTGTGGGCAATTATAGAAGTCATTTTGTGACCCATTACATGTGTACAGATTTTATGAATTCATATTTTTGCTATTTGGAGAGTGAGTTTTACAGACATTAAAGCGATTATCAAAATGTTTTATGAGCGTGTGGCCATCAAAAAGTAATAGTCATTGTTTCTGACAGCTGGACCCTTAGTTCTGCTGTGGAGGTTCAACCAGGACAGCAACCATGACTTCAGTTTCCATTTCTCTCTTTCATCAACTTAATGGGTGCTCTTGCAATGGTGCACACCAGAAGCTCTTGGGAGTGTTATAAAAAGTTTGAATGTATCATCCCAAGAGATCCTGATTTGATAGGTGTAAGGTCCAGCCTGAGCAGCGGGATTTGTTAAAGCTGCCTAACCAGTGAGCACTGCACGTCTCCCTAGTTCAAATCTCTAAATTTTCTGTCCCACCCTCCCCCTTCCAAAACTTGCCTGGCCTTCTTTCATTAAGGCTCTGTACTCTTTCCATCTGCTCCTATTTCAGAGACGGCCCTATCTAGCAGTGATCAAAGTGAACAATGGCCCCTAAATATTTCAATGCCAGCCACGTGTGGTCTTTGGTGTCCTTGATTCCTGTGTCTTCTCAAAACTCATACTCAGGTCTGAGTCCTGAGCCAGGCAGCAGCCCATGCCACCCTCATCCCTTATCCATCTATCATCAAGAATGAGACTGATTCTTACAAGTTTCTGGAGCATGCACTCACTGTGTTGGGACCTGACCCTTTTGTGTCCTCTCTCACCCACTTGCATCACTCAGATGCGAACCTTCACTCAGGACTGAGTAAGTCAGTGCATCAACTCCTGAAGAGGGCTTAGGGCTGAGGGAGGTGTCGAACTGCTTCATCTCTCAAATATAGTAGCTCTTGCTTACAAAAGATCTATTTCCCTGTTTCTTATTATCTTGTCTTTCATTTGACTCTCTATTGACTTACATTCTGGATTTCTCATCTAAGAGATACCATGTAATTTTTAAGCTGATTTACTTCACTTAACATTATGGTCTCAAGAGAAGATGAACTTAAAATCTTGTTCTTGAGGTATAATTTGCATTCAGTGAAATCTTCAGAGCCTAAGAGCATTGATCCCTTCTGAGAAACACATGAACTTATAAAACTGCATTCCTGGTAAATTGCGGAAAATTGTGGACTATGTCCATCCCCTGGGATGGCTCTGGGGGCAGGAGCTTCTGTTGCTTTAATTTTCAAGTTAGCTGCCTTCTTTAGTAATCACATTATTAAGTTTAATATAGATTAGCAAAGAATAATTCATGCCCATTCTCTATGTTTGGCACACTGACAAATTACTCTGTATATCCTCTTTTGAATTAACTTTTTTTTTTTTTTTTGGTGGACCCAGGGATTGGACTCAGGCCCTTGCGCTTGCCAGGGAAGCGCTTATTCCACTGAGCCATCTCCTCGGCCCTTAAATTAACATTTTAAAGTGAGAATTTTAATTCACTTCACATTTTAGATAAGTAAACCATGGGAAAACTAATATATGTGTCTCAGGCTTAAAATGGACTTTTAAGATAAAGCCTAGTTTCATACTAAAGTGTAAAGGAAACTCCTCACTTTCTAAGATATAGCTGACACAGTTTTCATAATGCAGTTATCAGGTTATAGTTATTCAAATCCGAATTAGATTTTGTAGCAGATGCCTCGTAATTCAAGTCTGTCCTGGAGACATAAATTAAGGTGGGAGTGTGTGACACATTTAAACTTTAAGCCTTGCCTGAAATTCATGACAAGTACAATTTATGGAGCCTTCTAGGTACCAACGTCTAAATTAAAATTTTTATATCTAGGCTTCTAGCCACTGATTATCATCATTGCTTGATTAAAGAAATGCTTTCCCCCTTTGGTTTTCCTTTGGTAATCAATTTTCCTCCATGTGCCCTCCCTTTCTTTTATATCCCACGTCCCTGGAAATGCTAGAGTTCTCTATTGGCAGCAGCAATTGTACCTGCTGGAAAGCCAGCCCCAGGGTTTTGAGGGCCTCCTTGTCCTGATGCCAGTGCAGGCGGGCTGTCTTCATTCTGCAGCCCTCCCTGACTCCTCCAGCACTTCACAGCAAAGTAGGGGACGTATCCATGGTGGAGGCTAAAGGGGAAGGAGCCTGAGGACTCCACCAAGCGTTGTGGGTGCTGAGCAACTGAGAGACTCAGGCCTGCACCTCCCACCCAGGGCCGAGTGACCTTGGACACACACAATGCGGCACCTGCATTCCCCAAGCCCAGGTGCAAAGAATTCCTCCTGCACACCTCCTCATAAATGTCAGGAGAGAGGCAATTACAGCAGAGCCACATGTGAGAAAGGATTGTGTACCTGGTAAGGTGCGATAATGTAAGGTCATGTGACGATGCATAATATTTATATATCTAATGAATGCATGTATTGAGTTTTAATGATAAAGGAAAATAAAAACCTCAGAACCATCACTCCCTGCCTTTCCTGTGTGTTACAACAATGAAAACAGTCAGGAAAGGAGGCTTCATCTTGCTCTGCCAACTTCTTTTCTTTAAATTGGAATTTTATTTTAGCGACTATATACTAAATACATTATTTAGGGTTCTTTTTCAAAAAAACATTGAGGATTGTCTTTGTACTGTCTTCTAGCTCCTATTACAATGAACATCACTGTCCCCAGCCACTAGATAAAAAGATCCCTGAGATTAAAGTGCTTCAGCCAAAGTAGAACAGGAAATGGATGATGGGATGAGGGAAGGGTACAGGTTCTCACTATGCAGTTCAGACTCGTCGTGATTCTCCTGTCTCAGCCTCCCCAGTGCTGGGATTATAGGCGTGCGCCATCACACACAGATTTTGGGCTGGCACTGTACACCCAGGGTTCTGGGGATAGTGAGGAATGTGGTACCAGGGATCAGACCTTGGTCCTTGCACTTGCCAGGCAGGTGTTTACACCACAGAGCTATATCCCCAGCCCCTGAAGCAGAATTTTATGAAAACATGTGAGCTCTTGCTTATGTCCACAAAGTCTTCGGTAGAGTAGGTGGAACCCACTTTCCATAAAGAAAATACTCCCTGGGCTGCTTGTGGAGAAAAGCCAAATAATACTTCAGACATCTTTCCTTCATCCATTGATGTTTCTTCCCTGCCCAGTCAACCATGCATATGCATCCACCGGTCTTCTCTGCTCTTTCTCTTTTTCTTCTTCCTCTTCCTTCTCCTCTTCTCCTTCTCCTCCTCCTCCTCTTCTCCTTTTCCTCCTCCTCCTCCTCTTCTCCTTCTCCTCCTCCTTCTCCTTCTCCTTCTCATTCTCTTCTTCCTCCTTCTCCTCTTCCTCCTCCTTCTCCCCTCCCCTCCCCTCCTCCTCCTCTTCCTCCTCCTCCTTCTTCTCTTCTTTATCTTTCTCCTTCTCCATCTCCTCCTCCCCTTCTTCCTCTACCCTGTCCCCTTCCTCCCTCTCTTCCTTCCCCTCCTCCCCCTTCTCTTCTCCTTCCCCTTCCTTCATACTCTCCCTCTCCTTCTCCATCTTCTACCAAGGTGGCTCTTGCTTTCTCCTTTTGTTCCTTCCATACCCTTTTCATGGTACCAGAAAAGTAGCATCAGGTCTTTGTTATCATTCTTAGATGATACTCTGAGTCTCTTAGAACATTTTGGATGTCATGTATGGGTCAAAAAGGACTCTTCTATTTATCTCACTGATTTTAACCTAGCCTGGAAGTGTCAGTTTGATGAATATTATTAACAAAAGTCTTGTACTCCGTTTCAGTGAAGGAACACACACCTCCTAGGAATGCACACTGAGAGAGTTCAGACACAAGAAGAGGAAGTTCCAGAACCTCTCCCCGCCCACCCCGAACCGGGGATTGAACTCAGGCCCTTGCGCTTGCCAGGGAAGCGCTTATTCCACTGAGCTACCTCCCCGGCCCCTACCTCTTTCATAATGAGTAATTTTAATAACATCAAAACATAATAAATCGATCTGAAGAAAACACAGCAATGTGTTGTGCTTTGGGAAACTACTTATAATTATCATATTTTGTAGCTACTGTCTTCCTGGAGTTTTGGAAAAGGAGAAGAAGTATACTGACCTACACCTGGGACCTTATTGAATGGGAGGAAGAGGAGGTGAGCTGTTAGGAGGCTGGAGATACAGACACTGGGATGTCACACGATGTGGAAACCGCTGTGTCCTTGAGACCAGGTGTAGCTGACACCTTTCCATCTCCCCTTGCTGTTTTCTACCAGCAGGATTTCGTGATCATGAAGATAATAAAAATCATTAACAAAACAATGGATTTTTAGAACTACTTCTACAACATTTCCTTAAATTACACTAGTGGAAAAATATAAAACTTAAAATACAAATTAAGGGTTACTTGGAAATAATTAACATATTTTTAAGGGACTCGTCTTTGTGAAGACAATGTGGAAGTAGGGCAAACTTAGTAGACTTGTATTAATTCCTGGAGACTTTTTCAAATGTGGGAATTCGCTGTTTTAATCACTTTAGCTTCTCTTCTAGGAAACCCTGCGTCCCCAGTTTGAAGCCAAGTACTACAAGATGGAGATTGTAAATCCCATCACAGGAAAGCCAGAGCCGCATCAGCCTTCATCCGACAAAATCACCCGTCTTCTTGTTTCTGTCTCAGGAATATTTTTCATGGTAAGGCATGGCCTTTGTTATCACAGCATTGTGGGGCTTCAGGGTTAGCAGGACGACCTAGGACATCAACTCATCTTGTGACCCTGAGAACATTAAGTGGTAGACATCCAATTTCTTTGTCAGACTTTATTTCTCATATTGTTTTCCGTCTTTTTTTATAATTAGAGATTGTAAGGTTCTCCATTTACTATTTTAAATTGTAGGGAGATAGGGCTGGCAAGATAGCCCAGTGGTCTAAAGCGCCTGCTTAGGCAAGCATGCAGGAACCATGGTTTGATTTTCGGCCCATGCTGCGTCAGCCCCAAGCCCTGGGTGGGCTGAACTGGCCACACACCCACACCCACACCCACCCACACACACACACACACACACACACACACAAATAAATAAAATGTAGGGAGATAAATCCAACCTAACATATACTGAAGATTGGTTCACTAATAAGGAAATGCGCTTTAAATAGCAGAAGTAGGAGCAAGGGGAACACGCAGGCGTTCTTTGTAAACAAGCATTTGGCTTTTTGGCCTTTTCTGTTTTATTCCATTACAGCACATATGTCCATGAAAATGTACAAAATGTTGGGTTTTTTTCTTGTTAAATCATAGATGTGTTCTTCACAGTATAGTTTGATAATTTAAAAAAACATAAACTTTTAGAAAGGAAAATAGCCTTTCACTACCTCAGTAATATTTTTGATTAAACAAAATAGAGGCCATGGCAGATCATGGAGGTTTATAAAAGGGAACGTGTGCTCCTCATTCTCACTGGAGAAACTGGAGTCAGCCGTGATTAAGTGGAGACTACTGGAGTCGCATTGCCGGAGCGCGTGTCCAGTGTTAGAAGGAAGTCCTGTGAGAGATGAAACGTGGGTAGGCTCGGTGCTTTCAGGGGTAACTCTGGTCGTGCTCCAGCCGCTTAAATATCTCTCGTTTCTATTTTGTTGTTTGCAAGTTTAATTAACTTTATTTCACTTTAGTTTTGTTGGCTCTGCGTATTGAATTAAGGACCTCACACGTGCTAAGCGTTTATTTTACCGCTAAGCAATGCCCCTGGGCTCTGGTTTTTTATTTTTATTTTTTAATGTATTTGGTGCAGTGTCTCACTGTGCAGCTGGGACGCATAGTGATCCTCCCTTTTTAAATGCCAGGGAACACTGTGCTTTCACTTTGCCATGGTGTTTTGAAATGTGCATGCAAATGCCGTGGTTGAATCTAGCTAACTGGAATATGCATAATCCTGCATAGTCACCTTTCTTTTTTTTCTGTATTTAGGACTGGGTCTTCAGGCTCTACAGGGTTTCACTGTGTAGATCCGACTCTGAGTGATTCTCCTGTTTTCAGCCTCCCATGCCCAGTCTCAGTCACCATCTCAGAGCGCCCCAGGGGCAGGGCCAGCACAGCCGGCCGGAGATCGAACCCCATCCACTGCTCTTTGCCCAAGCAGGCACTTTAGTCCACTGAGCTTTGAGGCCAGCCCTACAGTCACTATTTTAAGCTTAAATATTTTAGTGTTAATTATGACTCTAGTATAAATTACTCCCTCATTGACAAAATATACTCACGTATCTTTTCTAAGAAAGAAAAATCCTTTTAGCTATGGGGTGCAGCATCTCTGAGCTATGCCTTCACGTTTGACCTGTTCGTGATGCGCCTTGCCTGCCCTCCCTGTGTCCCGTGCCACAGATTTCTCTGGTGATCACCGCGGTGTTCGCGGTGGTGGTCTACCGCCTGGTGGTCATGGAGCAGTTTGCATCCTTCAAGTGGAATTTCATCAAACAGCACTGGCAGTTCGCGACGTCGGCTGCCGCGGTCTGCATCAACTTCATAATCATCATGTTGCTGAATCTCGTAAGTGCTCACCCAGCTGTTTTTCAGTGTGTCTGGAGAGGTGGGAAGTGGAGAGGGTCAAGTTCCCTGGAAGGTGGCACCCCTGTACACTGATGACGGAACAAGACAGATCTACATTTTGGCAACAGAAAATAGTTCATCTGTGTATCTGAGATGGTGGATGTTCAGAAGGAAAAGTAGCTCTGATTGAATCATCTTCTCTGTCGTTTGAATTTGTGATCTAGACAGTGATAACTACTGAGAGTCTGCCCGCTTGGGATGGCGCCACTCACTTTTCAGTAACTGAGGGATGCGTTGGATTGTAAAACCACTTAAACTCAGGTTCATGGGACTGCTTGGTGGAAGATACAGAAAGGTTGGCTTCAAAGTAAAGGCTTGTGGTCTCAAAGGCAGCCACGCAGTCCCTTCTTTTTCTTTCTCTTTCTCTTTCTCTCTTGTTTCTCTTTCTCTTTTTCTCCCTCTTTCTCTTTTTGTCCCTGTCTCTGTCTCTCCCTCCCTCTCTCCCCATTTCTCTTTCTTTTTCTAATTCATCTGTTCACATTAGGAAGATGACGGTCTTTCCCTCACTATGCCCTTTTTCTCTCATGTTGGGCTGCACTGTGGCGCTGTTGTATCCTGGTTTTGGAGCTGTACGATCACTTGCTGGGTGTGTATGATTTAATTTCCTGAAGAAGGCATCATTTCGTTCAGCACCACGTGCATTTAGTGACTTGAAGCTCAAACATCTGTATCTGGGAAGTCATCACTTTGCCTCTTCAACAAAGTTAATGAATGAAAACTGTATTTTTTTTTCTGAAAAAGCACAATTTACACATTAAGGATAATGTCTTGTCTGTAATCCTTCCAACAGCCCCACAGAGCTGGTGTTATGTCCATCAAAAGGGGAAACTGGAAATCAGAGAACTGAAATGGTTTGTCCCAAATCGCAGTATAAATGTCAGCTTATTCCCATCATGAGCTAATTTGTATGCATATCTGAGCCTACTCAATTAGTCTATTATGCGTAAACTATAAGCATTTGGTTCCAAATGTGGTTCACACAAATGCTTCATGCTTTGCCATGAGAGCCCAGAGGGCGTATACCATTTAATTTTCATAACCAGAAAGGTCCATAAGAGAACAAACTTTACCTGCACTGCAGTGGTTACTATCTACAGATTCTGCTTTCTTCAGTTTCAGTTTCATTTGTTGAAGAAGAAAAGTATTTACAGTACCTCCCAATAAGCTATTAAATACTTGAATTTATGCCATTGAGTCATAAAATGTACAGCAAACATTGAAAAAGTACAGTGCTAGCTGATTTACCATTGTACAAATTAATCTAGAATTTAGACGGTTTACTGATCAAACATAAAGTGTTAAAAATATATGTGATAGAGACAGCGTCAAAGATGAAACAAGGATCATTAAGAGCTACTTGGATAATAGTTATTATACATCAAAATATTACCAGGATTTACTTCTGGAAAATAATAGTATAGATGATTTTTTTTTCTGTATATCCTATCTAATATTTATCATGCATATCACATTTTCTAGAGATCTTACTTATTTATTCATTTATTCATTTATGGTGCCGGGGATCGATCTCGGAACCTTGCCCCTGCCAGGCAGGCTCTTAGGCTCTGAGCTGTGTCCCTGGCCCTAGAGACCTTAAAGAGATCATCAATAATGTAATGAATGGTTTGTGTGCGAAGAATAAATATATAACTATGGAGAATAGCAAGAATTGGAAAAATACTAAATGATCAAAGCTAAAAGAATATGAATTAAAAACTTTAAGTGATGGAGCAATACAATCTACTTAAATGCCATTTTACTATTATTGAATGACATAAAATCCAGTTACTTAAGATGTACAATTTTACTTGATTTTGGTTTTCCACAATATATACACCCACCCATCTAGCTCTCAAAACTGTAAGAAATTACAGTGAACTGTTAATGGTGCAGCCAGGATATAGCTCAGTGGTCTAAGCACCTGCCTGGCAAGTGCAAGGACCCGAGTTCCTTCCCTGATACTGCGTGTCATGCTGGTCCCACCCCGGGAACGCTGTGGCAGCCACTGAAAACAGGCATGGTGGTGCACAGCTGCAATCCCAGTGCTGGGGAGGCTGAAACGGGAGGATCACTGTGAGTCAAGGTGCGTAGCAAGACCCTGTACCAAACACATAAATTTAAAACAGAAAATCTGTTAACAATATTGTCTCCTTACAGTGAGATAATAGGACAAACACTTTTGATTTGAAGTAATATTTTTTCTGATCATTCAAATATTTACCACCATATACAGGTATTAATTTGCAATCAGAAAAAATAAGGGCTGAAAAGATGGCTCAGTGGAATAAGAGCTTCCCTGGCAAGCACAAGGGCCTGAGTTCAATCCCCAGTTCCGCTAAAATAAATAAATAAATAAATAAATAAATAAATAAATAAATAAATAACTTTGCTTGGAAAGAATTCTGCCATGATATAAACCTGGGGACATGTTGGACATGGAAGGCTTTTCCTTTTAGCTTTATGTATGACGCACACACACAACCGCAGTGAGGAGACAGCAGCTGCAAGTCCTCTCTACAATTGCGGCTTTCACCCAGGAAGGTCTGTCGGTGGCTGGGAGCGTCCCTCTGCCACAGCAGCCCTGCTCCTTCCACTCCCCGCTGTGCGCCTGTAGCTCCTGATTCTCTGAGCTGTCTGGGCTGTCGCACTGCATGTCACCTCTTCTCCATGGGCTCCTGAGGTCTCTGGACTCAGAGCCAGCGACTTTGCCCCTACCTTCTGTGACCCTTCGCACCCCACATGCCAAGACCTACGAGCTTTTTAGATGAAGAAGGTAGAGCTTACGGACAAGAATACTAGATGATCGCAAGAGCCTTCATCCAGCTTGGAAGGCATTGACAAAGAACTTCTTCTTGGAGCTTTGCCTCTTTTCTGTAGTTTAAACTTTTAATTCCCTTTGTAGGTCTTTATAGGTTTGTGTACACTCCCATTCCTTTTCATAAAGCAATTTTCTTTCCCAATTATTCTTATCTTTAACTAATAGAGTTAATTTCTCCCTTCCTGTCAATCCAACATGTGGAAAGAGAGTCTTGTCTTTGGTCTATCTAAACTTTTCAGATGAAATCTGCACTGACTTATGTTGAAGTTGTGTTCTTTTTTCCTTCATATCTGTTACCCTTCAGAGATATTAACACAAAAACAAATATTCATACAATCAAAATTATCTTTGGGGAGAAAGATAAACAGAAACCTTTGGTCGTATTGTCTTTTAAGGAAATACATTCATAATAAAAATATCCTAAGAGGCAAGGGGAAGGTTTGTTGGACAAAGATTTTAGGCAGAAGTGCAGGGTGAACTCCAGGGTGGGTGCAGGTGCTCCAGGAAAGGGGGCCTAAAAGCATCTGAAACATCCAACCAGCTCATGGGCAACTCTACTGCATATTGACTGTGGGAGTCTCACTATTTTGATGTCCCCATTTTATCATTTCCCTTTAAAGTCTGTCTTCCCTGCCCTTCCTTTAAACTCTAAATATGGATACTTTGTTCTTATAAAATATATTAAAGTATAAAACTGTTACAATACTGCATAGAAATGAACTTCCTCAAAGCTGTATGGGATGTTTCCCTCTGCCTTTCCTACCATAGACCTGGTTGCAGCTACTGAGGTGACCAGTGGTGACAGTTTCACCACATTTCTCTGTTCTCCACATGGCCTGCACCCCGTGACCGCCTTCACCAGGGCTCCCTGTTCCTTTTTTGTCTTGACAGTTTGTTCCCAAGGTTTACTGATCTTCAAGAGTGTCTTGAGCAAAGCTAATGAGAGGACTTAGCATTTCTGAAGGGAGGGACTCTTCCAGATAGGAATATTAAGCACTGAACATGTTTAATTAATTGTTGCTTGGGACAGCAAGCATGACAGCCTGGAACAGACATTCCGTGTCCAGGAATCAGTGCTTTGTTCCCACCTGGAGAAATAATTGTCCCTCAGTTAAGCTGAACACTGCGTGGAACCAAATTCATGAGGCAGAGCCTGCATTTGAGCTTTCTGTCAAATGCTTTTCTGACAAGAGAGTCCTTTACTTGCCATTCATTTTGAGAAGATTAAGATCTGGTGACTTTCCACTGTGGTACGAGGCTCCGGCGCTGTCTGCGTCGTTCCAGTGGCGGTGTGATCACACGTCTTCTGAACACAACAGTGAGCGTGCTGCACTGCAGACCCGTCCTGAGTTGCTGCCCGCTAGCTACAACCGTAGTCGGCTCACGTGTTTCTGGATTTTCCTCAGAAGGTTGCTACACATCTGTTCCTACTAAGCTGATGCGCTTGTCGAGGCTCAATGAATTCGTTCCACCAGAGCCCTTCATTTTACAGAAAGCCAAGCCTGTACTCCTAGGGTGAATCGCTGCTCGTAGCAAGAGGCCTTCCCGCGGCAGGTGGACATAGCACTGTCTGAATTGCCACAGCAGTCTCTGGAGATCCTCAAAGCGCCCCCAGCCCACACAGCTGCGCACTGTGTTAGCACCCCAGGAAAATGCCCATAGCTCCCGGGAGAAGTCAGAGCTGCCTGCTCTTTCTAAGTGTTTGCTTCTACTTCGAGGACATTTCAGCATGAAGATCCATGGGCTGTTAGAAGCAGACTAGGCTGTAGATACTTCTTTATCCTTGAAGCTAACTTAGCAGATTTTTTAAAATCATATCTAGCATAAAGGCACTGAATGTGCAGCCAACTCAATCCATGAGAAAAGAGTGTCATATTCATTTTTAATCAGTATAAAAATAATAATGCTCTTTTAAATGTATGGATTTCTTTCCTTCTAAAGATGTTAAGGTACTTGTTAATTATTTACATACAAAGCATTAAATAGCTCTTCTTACTCATCTGAATATACATATTAATTTGAGATCCTGATCAAATAAAGATAGATTGAAATGGCCCAATATTACACCAATGAAATGTCCATCTACAAAAAGTAAAAGATCCACTTACTATGTCATTTTAAG